ATATATATATATAAAACGCTTTTTTAGCGTCAAGGCTCAGAACTACATATCCCAGAATGCAAGTCACAGTGTGATGTCATTCCCTGGCGTCCGCTGCATATTTGCAACAGCACGGACTGCCAATCAAAAGGTATTGTATGTATTTATCACCTGAAGGTCTTTTTGTTGCTAAATATGTATTTAAGTTATTGTAAACTGGAATGAAGTATACATTTGGTAGTAATGATATATTTTAGGGGTTAGACAGCTTAGCGAATATCGCTCCAGCTATTGTCATCTATCTGGCTTTTTGTTGTTCATGTACAGTTTGTCACATCGTTGATGCTTCTGTGTTTAAATCATTTGACCGAATCAAACATAATTCATATCCAATTATATACATGATATACGCGCTCACCTGAACTCCTGAGACGATTCTCCGTCGACAGTAACTTGAGTAGCGCGAGGATGCAGTGTTGTGATCTTGAGTCAAACGTCCTGATCAGCTCAGTTAAACTAGCAGAAATACACTGGGCTTTGTTTGATTGTCTGTGTCTGTGGTCTGTCACGCTTGACTGTACATACCAAATTTGGACATCTTGGTCTGCGTTTAAAACTAGCGACTAGCGAGCTGCCTAGCTAACTTAGACAGCATTGTGAGGGACGCATAACGGCCAAAAATGCTGTCTACGTTGGTAACTGACTAGATTTTGAGACATAGATTGTGCTAAAACCATATTATCTAAAACATATTATGCGTTAAAAGTGGTGCTCTATTTAAAGTTCACAGTGCAGCCCTCACAATACTAATTAATTGTCTTTAAATCTTCACCACTATCCTTCAGACCACTAGGTTTTACCCGTTTGTCAGCAAGTTGTTTTCAAATGTAATACAATTTAGTATGATCACCTTTTCTTTAATATATTTTAATAAATATCAAGTATGTTGTTTCATTTTGACATAAATATATGTTGTGTTGAACATTTTCACAAAAGTTATTTGAAACCATAAAGTAGACACTTGCATTTAATATGCTTTATATGTATAACTCCAAAATGGGACGTCCCGTCTTTGACCCATGTGTATTTTGCGTTCACAGCCGTCTCCATGGTGAAGTCTTCGGTAGAGGAGGAGGAGGGAGGATGGGGTCTTGGGATCCCAGAGAAGATGAGAAACAACGCCAACTGGGTGGACGTCACCCAGGAATTCAAAGGAGCCTGTAGAGGTGTGTATGTCGCACCAGTGGCTTATTATGAGAGAATCAACTCTGCAGCAGATGTCACTGTCATCAGAGAGCACATGATCTCAGAATAGCCCTGAGAAACGCAGGGAGAAAAATGGGCCGTGTTTATGTGACATTTACAGTAATATTCAAACCAGATTTTTCCAAAACAAGCAAAAAAATCCATGTATCGTATCACTAGCAGTTAGTTATGGAGGTAAAAAGTGATTCCTAAATGGGATGCAAGCTTTATCACATTACAGCCCATGCTTTTAATGATTGATTTATGACATTGTGTCTTGCATTTTCAATGCTCTGGAGAAATGTTGATCGTATGCAGGGTTCATTCTCTAAAGGTGCAGTGAGGCACGGCTGCAGGAATATCTTCCTGATGTGGTCGGTTTGGCCATTTATGGTCACTAAGACTAGGGCTGCACGATTAATCTAATGCGATTGTCATGCGCATTTTGATAGTAAAGCCGGTTCTGTAATCAGCAGTAAATCATCATCACATGCTTTCAGATGGAGCAGCATTTGCTACACAGAGCCGTAGTTTTTTACCGACTCTCATTTAAAAAAAAATCTTACAGATACCAAACTTTTTTATTAGTATAGTAGTATATTAAACAAAGCAGTGTCTGGTTGAGTGTTATGAATATCAGTGTGTATGCTGTATTGAATATTGTCTCACTGTTGTCTCAGATCACATGGCTGGAGGGGCATTCTCTGGCTCAGACTGTGTTTACGTGTCTCTATGTTCATAATCCGGATCTGATTCAAGACCCTGCACTCAAAGCCTTCGCTCTGGGCATCCTCAAGATCTGCGACATCGCCCGCGAGAAAGTCAACAAAGCCGCTGTGTTTGAGGAGGCAAGACGCAGTGTTTTATTTCTCAGACTGTTGTCCCAGTGGTGTTGTTTTATTGAGTTATCATGACAGTGTCTGGTGTGATTACTGACGACATAATGTACATGTATGAACAGAGACACAACCAAAACTTAAATCCATTCAATCTTCAGTGTTAAGTTTTGCTGTTGGTTTCTTCAGTGAATATGGATTTGTCTGTTTTCCAATCACAGGAAGACTTTCAGGCCATGACTTACGGCTTTAAAATGGCAAACAACGTAACAGATCTGAGAGTGACAGGTGAGTGTAAAGACTGACCTTTATTGTGATTTATATCTTGCTTAAATAAAATTAAGGCTATTTTTGTATTTATTTTTATATTTTGTACTTATTGTTTTATTGTCGTGACTTAAGTGCCTTTTCCCCCACCAGTTCTCAATACTGTAATGGGAAAAAAAAAAACCATTTAAACATTAGCTTTCCAATTATAATAATTCTTTTATTTTGAACTTTATATTAGTTGTAATTGGAAGAAATGTTTCTTGAGCAGCAAATCAGCATATTAGAGTGATTTCTGAAGGATCATGTGACTCCGAAGACTGGAGTAATGGTGCTTAACATTTAAAAAGTAAAACATCTAGACAAATTACAGAGAATTTGAGGAGAATTTACAAAAGAATTAAAGAGAATTTCGAGGGTCATGGAAATAATGTTTTGATGCATTTTCCTTATGCAAAATGTAAATGAGTGAAATATGACTCGGATACATTTTTGTAAGATTTCAGTTTCTTTTAATTTCACCATTTAAATTGTAATGTAGGCATGCTAAAAGATGTTGAGGATGAACTTCAGAGGAAAGTGAAGGTATGGTGACTCCATCTTAAGACTTTTCATGATTCTCCTCAGGTTTTTCTCTTGTTAAATATGCGTCTCTTCCGTTTTCTTACAGAGTACACGCAGTCGACAGGGTGAACAGCGAGATCCTGAGGTTGAATTAGATGTAAGATGATATACAACCATTTTGCCCAATTTTAGATTCAGATAAAGAGATGGATGGATGGTTTGGGTTGTTGTTGTTGACTTTCTTTCTCCTTTGCCCTCAGCATCAGCAGTGCTTGGCTCTGTTCAGTTGTGTTACATTCACTCGCCTGCTGCTCAGTGCTCTCATCTCCTTCACTTAAAAAGAGGTATGACATTATTAAGTTCACCCAAGCTTATTGCTTCACGAAATGATTCGTCCGTTAATTTCCTGATGTTTGATTGGTTGATTCAACTTTTCAGACGAGTGCTGTCAGTGAAGCACAGAAGCTGATGACTCAGGCTGCTGACTTACTGCCAGCGATTCACTCCACCGTACAGTACGGCATACAGTCACAGAATGACACAACCAAAGGAGGTAACGCAGTCTTCACACGTGACACATTGTTAATCAATATAACACTCACAATAAACGTCTTACTTTTAAACTTTCTGTCAGCTAGAATTCATTATAATAATTTTTGTTTAAATAAAAAATGCAATTTAAAATTTTTTGTATTTTGTAAAAGTAACTTAATATTTAAAATTCTATTTTTATTGTAATAGTTTTCATTTTATGCTTGATTACATGAACATTTTAATTTT